CCAACCTACTAGCGGCCTCCAAACTAAGAGCAATGACCTGCAACCTAAAAGCACAAGGAACCTAATAGCGATGGCCTCCAACCTACTAGCGGCCTCCAACCTAAGAGCAAGGGCCTCCAACCTAAAAGCAAACGGAATCTAGTAGCGATGGCCTCCTCCGGTTTCTGCAAAAAAAGACGTTTCGAGACGTGCCAAGTGATGCCAAGTGGCAAGGGCATGCCCAGCTGGACAGCTCGACCTGGAAGGCCTTGGTGCTCGAACCGGCCAGAACGCACGACTTTCGGGAAGAAGAACCTCGGAGCCCTCGAGAACGCACTGCATCCAAAGCGAAATTGATAATACTGTATCGTACTGGCATCTGAACATCGAGTGGAGCAATCGAAGAAAAAAGTGGGCAAAGGCCTGTATGCCATTGTGCCAGTCGTGCTGGATGCGGAAGAACAGTGTTTGTGAGAACAAGCCCCGGCATTTCACTGTGTTATTCTTCAAAAAGATTCAAAAAGCACATGACGGCCACAAGAAGGGCTCTGAGATCAAGAAATAGTACGTACGTAGCAGTGTGATGCAAAATCGGTGGGTTGGTGTGAATTGGTCATATATAATATACTTGACAGGCCAGGATGCATGAAACATGAAGAACTCTTGAAGATTGAATCTTTCACTCAGTCACCTCTCTCTTTGGACACCATCATTGCAGCATTGCACAGGCCGAGTGCAAGAATTTCAACGAAGTTCCCCTCCACAACTTGGCGTCCAACCAGGCTTCTTCGGCTTGACCTATCGTGGAGCAAGACCAAGATCCCCACCAAAAACATCCAACCATCACGCACAAGAACGCATTCTTGTGAGTTAGGCTAGGGGCTAGGGATGGCTAGGGGCCATCAGGCCTTATGAGAGCTATGGGCCATGTAGTTCATGGGCAATGGCCCATGACGAGCGTAGTTTAACGACCTCCGAGATGTGCTCACCCCCAAATCATGCGACCAGAGTCAAAGTACTCAGACCCGTGGGCCCCGGGTTGAGTTGCGAATGAATGATGGATGTAGAATGGCTCGGAAAAGTATTAACGTTATGCCCCAGGTCCCTTTGGATGTTGGACAACCCCCAGCCCGCCCTCCTACTCTGCCTGGGGTGCTTGAGGCGCCATCATGGAGTTCTTCCGCAAATGCCTTATTCCAAGGTGAAGCGAACGTCGCCCCATCCCAGTGGCTGCTTTCAGCTCCTCTGCTATCCCCTGGTTCCTCTCCACCCCTCCGCTCCACGCCCCAATCTAGGGCCACAGCTCCAACAAAGACTCCGGTTTTCGCTGCAAGACTTCCTGTCAAACGCTTTAAACGTCGCCCCTTTTTGCACTTGAAGACCATGCGTGGCCTGCCTACCTGTCAACCTACCTGCATTACCCGTCAATCTTGGACTCTTAAACCCGTCCATCGCCCACATACCCCCTTCCATCTCCCTTCATCTCCCTTCCGCCGAAGGCCGATGTCAAGGCCTCGTCTTCGCTGTCACTGACGTCCAAGCCGTCAATGCCCAAAGCTTCATCGGCCACAAGGGGAGTGATTTCTGACAGACCTCAAAGAGCGGCTGAGCATTGGCTGAGCATCCTGAGATCTGTAGGTTTGAACTTTTGATAAGCTTAACCTGACCTTAAAGCCTTAGATTTGCCTTGTCGCTTAATGTACCATCAAGCTGACTTTGCAGGTTTCTAATCTGTTCCTGCATGGAACCATCTCCCTTTTGACCGGTTAAGCAAGAAGCCAGTGCGCCGTAGGAGATGTCGTCCATCCAGCACGCCAACATCCTGAAATGATGATGATCATGGAGCAGTGTATAGTGTATGAGGCCATTGCTATTAGGCTCCCTCCCTCTCTCTCTCTCTCTGCCCTTCTGCTTACAGGTCTTGCTGCATTTAAAGGCGGGCTGAGGACAGCAAGACACAACAGAAAAAGGAAAAATAAACAAGACACTTCCAACAAAAACCCAAACCTGACCAACCTATTCCCACTCTGGCTGGCCATCAGTCGTCCTGTGCATCTTCCCCTTGCGGCCCTTGCATGCTTTTGCGTCGGATCCAATCATCAGCCCACTGGGTGCTCTGCTCCAGCTCCTCACGTCAAACTTGGAGCTCGGATGTCTGGCTTTTCTACTGACGAAGTTTTGATCATGTGTTCTTCTCTTATTCGATGCTATTTTCAAGGGCACACATCTAAAGGTCCACTGAGACGGGTGATGACTAAATCATGAAAGCCCAACACCCTGCTGAATCCGCGCTTGTCACCCACCCCTCTCTTCTCACAAGCTGCTAAACAGACCAATAGTCGAAAGCTCCAACTTCGCTGTCGAGGCTCTCCCATGCTTCAAAGACATTCAACATCAACATCATTCAACTTTTCGCAACATGTTGCCATGAACAACTCCATGTTGACGGGCTTCTCCAGTCCTGCTCGCCTAAAGACGCTTGGACATTACTTCTTAAGGCCTCCGTGCACGGCGCGGGGGTGCCATGGTGCCGTGTTGTGTCTGTCTGCACCGGATCCGACCGTGGGCGGGGTTCACCACATACCGAACCTTCGTCTCCAACAGGTCAGTCATTATGTTTGCTCTGCGACCGATGGCCTCACGAGTCGGAACGCCCCTTGTTTTGGTCAGTCAGCGAGCCGTCGCGATTTCCAAAGAAGAAAAGGAGTGAAACTGCGGTTTTCAAGGTAAAAACACCGGACCAAGAGCAGGACTGGTACATCAGGCAGCTCAACATCTTCCTGGAGCTTAACAGTCTTTGCTATCTTGTTTGGCGACTCTCTTGGCAAGGACTTCCGGTTTCAACAATGCTAGCCAAGCAGCCTCCTCTGATTCCCTTAGAAACAATACGGACCGCTGGCCAGCGGAGTTCACATGCTTGCACCATCAGCACCATTGTCTACCGTATTCCCTGGCCATTCTGGATGCTGCCATGCTCACTCGCTGGTGTAGCTGCTGGCCGACGCCGGAGACGCAGAACGGACGTTGATCACCTCAAACGCCGCCAAACGACGCCGCGTGCAGCCGGACCCAGTGGATCGGGCGCCCCACGGGCACGGTGGTCGCGCGGCCATCGCGTCGAACGGTGATGGACTCCATCAAAGCAGCCGCTTCCACCGAGTCCGCCCTGAGACCAGTGGGCGGACTTGGCAATGCAAAAGAAGCAAATTCAGCAGTGATACGGTTCACGCAGCCGCCCCAAGCAAACTATCGATGCAACTGTCATGTATACATGAATGTCCTTGGTAAATGGCTCCTCCAAAATTACTTCAGGGGTTGCCCTCAATGCATTGGGCAAAAGATTCATGATGATTCATGTCACAAGCCTGAAGTGTACATCCAAGCCTGGATTCAATAGAGGCCCTAGACAATCGGCGGGTGGCATCCCGTGTCAGTTTTGGCTGACCTAGCTCTGGGCCGAGCCATGCACATTGCGCCCCCCCACAGAAAAGGAACAACCAGCAAGCAAGAACGCCACCCCAGTTTCGAAACTTTTGCCAGGTTTGCCATGAGTCAACCTCGGATGCAAGCAACATACTGCAGTTTCTTTCTCGGACTTCAACCTATACTTGCGATCGCCTAGAAGCGATTCAGCGATGGTCTCCAACCTAATAGCCATAGCCAACTAGACTCCACAAGTTTGCGTCATTTGGGTTTTGGTCTAGTTGCGAGCGGGTGATCTTTGACTTCGCTCGGCCAACATACATGGTCTGCTCCTGGTGAGTTTGGATCCGCAGTATCTGGTGGAGAAAAAAAACAACACAATATGATGCACCACTTGGCTTATTTTGTAAAAAGATCAGGAACCGTTTTGTCCTAGTTGTGGTGTCCAAGTGTGGGAGGAGTTGTGTTCAACTCACTCTGCACGTCGTCCAGCTAAAGTTCTTACCCCGAACCTGAGCAGAGTTGTCCCGCCTCTGACTTGGTACCATCTTTCCCAGGACGTTTTTGCAACGATCCCTTGGCAAAGCCGTGGCTTTCGCCAGCCATCGCACTCGGCACAGTCTTGTAAATAGCAACAGTTTGAGGGCTAAAGAATGATCATCATGTCAACATGTTCATCCAGGAAACTCTCTTCAATGACGCTCTTGATGTAGTAGTTGATGACTTTGGGCTTGGGGAGATACTGTCGAGAAGTCGCTGTGCCAAGAAGTCGCTTCAAAGTCCAAATTGCCAATAATCATAACATATCATAACACTTTCGTACAAGCACTAGCTGCAAAAAACATGCATGATCATGCATGTAAACAGGTGCCCTCTCCTGCCCGACTTGGTGGAGGATGCCCTTCTGCTGCCGACTTTTGTGGCCTGTGCAACAGTGATAACATATGATAACATGATTCCTGTCTGTCTTTGCGAGAAGTCCTATGCTCAGCCAAGCCGGGGCTATGACGGAACGGCGAAGTTGAGAGCCACGCTTCTTCGAAGATGCACCTCGTTCAGCACTTTGTCAAAGAAAGACGGAACTCAAAATTAGAACGCTACTAGGGGCTCCTGGCCATACTACTAATTGGTATTGCGCAACGCTGTACACTCTCCCCACTGGGCCTCGCTTCTCACCGCCTTCCAACTCAAAAACCACTCGTGGACCCTCCTGCAAAGCTACAAACTGTTGAGTCTTCACATGGAGATCCATCAAGGCAAGGAATCCCGTTGTTAAAAATGCAAGTCCTGGTAGACCTGGTTTGCAGTTTGGTCATGCACACACACAATCCAAAAACTCTGCGGTGCGAGCTCTACATGCAAAAACATATGCATTTAAATCCAGCCCTTCCACCCGAGCATCGCCTCTAGCTTTAGAAGGTGTTGGCAATACATCTTGGCGGCTCTTTGTGCCTTCCAGACACTCAATGAAAACACCTGCTCTGTAGGTTCTTAGACCTTTTCTTGGATTGATTGGAAAGAATGGGCTCAGCTTATGACACTTAAATTGTTTACCCCAAAAGCGCCTGCATCAGCTTGTAGCCTTGAACCTTCCACAGTGATCGCATGGCCACCCGCGACGCATAGATAGCCATTGCTTCCTGGGGCCGTGTGTTTCTAACCCATGAGGAGCCACGATCAAAATCCAGTGGCACTGTCTTTGACTTGAATTTGCTGTGCTGGAGAGGGGGGCACACTATGGCAACAGCCACTTTAGTTGTCCCAAAGCCGACTGGTTGAGCAATCCAATGTGTTTGAAGCTGCACCAGTGCCTGTTCTGTGAGGATCTTGGGCGCTGGGGTAGTTTCCGCAGTTGGACCCGATCTGCACAGCTTAAACTATGAACGCCATAGCTCTTCACGTTCGTCACGAATGGAGACTCTTGATTAATAAAACCCCCCATAGCAAGAGGTTTTTCAATCCAATTGGGGTGGGTCTATTAAGTAAGAGTCTACATTAGAGATTCGGATGCAGCTCCAAAGGTGAGGCCTTCCAGTCTCAAGTGCCATCTTAGACTTCTGACGCCTTGGACGATACGTCAACGTTTTCCACGTCAGACGGACTTGAGACTGTCAGAAGTGAAAGCAGAATTCTGAGGCTCGACTCAAGAACCTTCGCCTCAAGGTTGCTGGCGGCCCCTTGCTTAATGGAGATCTCCCTGTCCAGCTGCTCCCTCAATAAAAGAATGCATATAACGGTCACACTTGCACAGAATCATAGAACGGTCAAACTGCAGGTGAATCCAAGCTTCATCTTGCTTTGAATGTCCTGAGCACAACTCACCACATAATCCAGCAAATGGTATGAACGTTTCCTCGTAGAGGTGGAAAAACTCAAAAACAAAAGAAGTGGGAAACGTATAGAACGCCAGAGAAACCAAAGAAACACAAACTGAAGGATTGAAAGCAACAAATAGAAGCAATGGTAATGGCAACAAAGGCTGTGGAAAGCAAAACAATAATATATAAGCAGGAAACAATACGCCATAAAAAGCCAAGTAGCAGGGAAGTACGAAAACAGTAGAACAGCAGGAGAAACCACAAAGACGCAATGAAAAGCAAGACAAGCACAAAAAAAAGGAGTAAAAGCAAGAAAAGCATGAGAAACCACAAAGAGAAGCGATGCATTTTGCAATACAAAACAATATGAACAACAGGAACAGAAGCCGTTGAAGCCGGGTCTGACCCGGAGAAGCGAAATTCCAATAAGAAGCTATGCCCTCCAAATAGGTATTGAGGTATTGGGGCACCGGTTCTTGCTGCCATAGCTCCGACAATCTGTTGAGAGATCGTTGCCATTGCAAAGACTTGGCCTTCCGAGTCTTCTCTTGGACCGGCCTTTCTGGAAAACAATTGACGCAGCAGGTCACGTCACAATCCAGGCACTTGGTCTATGCGCTGAAAGTCTGTAGGGGCGGCACAGCATACTGTGAGAGTGCATAATTCTGGTGCGTTCATGATGCAGCGACTGACGCTCTTGGACATCCTTCTGCTGCTCCTGTGACATTCGAGAGCTCTTCCAACACAAAGGATCATTTACTAGCTTCGTAGTTTCTTGTTTCTACTAGCTTCTTGTTACTAGTAGTAAGGCACTTGTTCCTAGTAGCGATGCCAGGAGCCCCTAGTAGCGTCCTTGCTCCTAATTTTAAGTCCATAATTTCTTGTAAACCATCCCTTGGGCCTTCGCTGCCACATTAGTCACTGCTAGTCCTGCAGAAGCTCTGTGACTTGCTGACACTCGTCAAGCGTAGCTTGAATTGTCTTTCGAGCTTCTTCCATTTTCCTCAACTGGTTGCAAGAAAGTGCCCTCCCAAATGGAAGCAAAGGCCGTGACATTCTAATCAACTACAGTGGACATTATATAACTATAATTAACTATATATATAGTAATAGTTAGTTGCTATTGATTGTCATCGGACATCTTGGTAGCATCTACAGGTCCAACAGCACAGGAATGGCTGGTGACTACGGATCTTATGATGCAACTGTACAGTACTGTACACCTTTACTTTGCCCTCTTCCATCTCTCTTTCTCCAAGTGGCTCCAACTCTTCCAAGACTTCTCCCACACGCCTTAGTGCGGCCAACGAGAGAGTTCCACCAAAATACCCAAGTCGGTCGCGACTCACGACATCTCACGACTCACCGTGACGTCCATCGCCAAGACACCAAGCGTCTGAGCCTTGACTCAGTTTGGAGATGGTTCTCCGCAAGACGTCCACACGCTGCGCGGCTTCCTGAACCGAACGAAACGTCGCTGAAACCATGCGACATACCCACACCGTACACAGTACTCCGCACACTGCGTACATCTACCAATCTACCAAAGATCGTGATTCAAAATCATCGAGGTCCTGCTCCTCACTTTGAAGCCTTCGAAGGTCCTCTTCTTGTTCCTGGCACGGCACGCTCGCTCAACTCTTGGTCCTGGAGATGACGTTGAAGTCGTCTCTCGATATCCCACTTCGATCCAGCTAGGGGTGGACCCCCACCTTTTGAGCCTGCTCTAGTCCTTAGTGATGGAATGCATGATGATTCGCATGATGGCATGACGCTTTCTCCATGGTTCATGGCTTCATATGGCTTCATATGGCTTCATGCCTTCCAAGCTTCGCTGCTTTTCCAGCTCGAACTCCAAATTCTGCTGGTCCAAAGGCACTTCCTGCAGAACTGCTGAAGTGCTGAAATGAATCACTCTAAGTTTACACACCGAGCTGCCTGCAACCCCAGCGGCGATGGCCTGAAGCAATGAGCAGAATCCACGGGGCTTTGCCAATCTTTGAAGCTGCTTGCTTTGATTCTTCTCTTGCTAAAGGTCTTTCTCTCATTTTTGGCACATCTTCTCTCCGCCCCCATTTCCCGATAGGTTTGCTCGTTTCATGTTGTTTACATCGACTCTCAGCTTTGGAGCGCCAAGGAACGGCTGTTCTTGACGCCCACGCTCCTCAGTGAAGAATGCGTCGACACGTCATGCGTTGCTTGACATCTGAGCTGCGCATCTGATTCACCCCAAACTCGACCGTTTCAATCTGATTCAGCCAATTCTGTAGAACAAATGACCACATGAATTAATTAGCTCAAGATTCCAAGGACGTGAGGTCGGCCTGCTGCCTTGATGGCAACCTGGGGAACAGAAGCTGGAATCATAGTTATTGGCTGTTAAAGCACCAAGATTACGCTCTATAGACTCTAGTTGGACTGCACATGGAGGAGTTTCATCTTCCCATGCCTGGTTGACCCTTCTGTGGACGGTCGTTGAGGCGTTGAAGTCCACGGCCTCATGGCAACGTGGACGCCGAACCCTATGAACGGCGGAAGACTCTAAAGCAACGGCGGAGCCCCTCATTGTTGAGACAAAGCCAAATAAGAGCGATGGCCTCCAACCTACTAGCATTTGCCTATGGACGAGAGCCATTGAAACATTCATTTTTGGTGACTAGGGATGTGGAGGTATGAACGCGTCACATCGGCTTTCGCAATGAAAAGCCTTTGACGAGCTTGACTTCATGACATCAAGCACGGAGGGAGTAGCCTTGAAGACTCTGCCGTTTGTGATCTTTCCCTGCTGAACCTCAGTTTTCCAGGATTTTCCATGATTCTGCCAAACCCAAGTGGGTGTAAGGGGAGGTAGAGAACACACTTGGGCACTTTGACATGTGCATCATGAGCACAAGAATTTCTTCAACCTGAGGTTGCTGCAATGGGCGGGAGTTCCCCAACTGGAAGGAGCCCTGAAGGCACGTGAATGACCGTGTTCGCAAAAACACCACACAAAGCCCAACACAAATGCGACATTGTAGAGCCCAAATCGCTCAAATCAACATGGCCAGCGGTGGCTCATGTTCTTTTTTGGTCCAACACTCTGACTCAAATGACTCACATCAGCTGTTGGACCGAGGGTCAGATCTAGAGTCTGGCAAGGGAGTGCCGGATTCGATGCCTGCACAAGCTGCAAAGGAACACATTAAAGCGTATTCAAGCAACCGAAGCTTACATAAATGAAAAATATTGCAAAGAAAGGACGAAAAGAAGAGTCCGCTCCAATTTCTGGTGCAGCAAGGTTACGACGCCGCGCCCCTGCGGCCAAGGCTTTCCAACGCTCCTCCCACTACTCTCATGATTTTCAAGCAAGCAATGGTCAGGGAGCCTGCTTCTGTGAAATGCAACTCACATAGATGACATCACCTACCTGGCAGTTCTTTGTCGTTTCAAACTGTTTCAATCAATATTGGCGCCTGATGATGAATCCCAGTCTTTTTGCCTTTTTGAGCCTTGGTTCACAAATGATCCAAGGCATCAGCACTGCTCCTGCTTGTTTCTGTTGGATGCCTGAAACATTGTCTATCCCCTCCTAATCATCTGACATTCAGTGGTATGCCGCATGCCAGAAGGACCAACCCGAAGCTGGAACTCCCAAACCGAACCGCATCAGGACCAGCGGATCTCGGTTAAGCGAGCTGCGATGAGACTGGCATCGACGAGACTCACATCTTCACCTGGCGATCGATCGATGTGCCACAACGCACGAGCTCGTGGCAAATACGGCCTGGCACTGGCTGCGGCTCATACTCCTGGCACACATGTGATATGGAATTGTATGGACTCAAGTAACCAAAAACGGTTTCTTAAGTGATCATCCAACAGAACACGCAGCACTCTAAAGAATCGAGTGCACATGGACACAGTATGACTCCCCGTATGCTCATCCATCGTTTCTACATGCTGACACACATGTAGAATGAACAGCTCGAAAAATATCGGAATACCAAGTATGTACCTAGCAAAGCACTGACTGTCAAAGAATATGTACAGTGAGTTATGTATAAAAATATATATATATATATACGCATAATTTAATGTATGTCTGGACGTCTGCCAAAACATACTGTCAAGCAAACATAAGCAAAGGACATGATTCAGCAAGGTTATCGCTTTTGAGGGGGCCTATCGCTTTTGCAGGTTTTAGTTCAATTCCTGAGATTCCTGACCACTCTTTACTAAATTAGTCATTGCACGTCTTGGCGGTTGCTCATGTATATTAAAGGCTTAAAAAATAGCAGTGATCAACCACCCAAACAAGCAAGCAAGCTCCTCAATCAGGTTGCCCAGATCAGCAAGGGACAGCATCGCCGCACGAAAGCACTCTGGCAAAGCATGCTTCATATCACCTGTCAGAAAAAGCGTGATGCCATGATGTTGCTTCTGTTCCGGATATTTCTAGCGACGTGTCACAAACCGACACCTTTAGTGTGGCAAAGTGACCTGTCACGGCTTGGGACAAAACACCCAGAATCTCAGGCCCTGTTAAGCGGTCGAAGACTTTGGCATCGGCCTGGGCAAAAGGCATCGCTACTAGGAGCAAGGACGCTACGAACGGGGCTCCTGGCATTACTACTAGGAGCAAGAAGCTACTAGGAATCCGGGCATCGCTACTAGGAACAAGGACGCTACTAGGACCAAAGGGCATCGCTCAGCCACTCCAGCGGTGAGTCAAAGGAGTCAGTCGACTCTCCATCCTATCACACCGCCGTCACACCGCGCTGCCAAGAGTCCAAAGCATCGCTGGTCAAGAATTTCATCAATGCCTGCAGGCTGCACGTATTCTCTTGTTTTCTCTTTTATACTTCCACGCTTAGTTCCATTCTATGTTTTTTTACATATTCTGCTTGTTATCTGCTTTGTAGATCGACTTGCACATCCTATGAGTGGAGTCTGTGGATCTGTTGAAACCACTTCACCGCCGCCTTCACTGCCGTCAGGAAGGTGTGGGACGATGGACCCAAAGGCAGCATCTGACGGAAAACCAAAGCGTGGCCAGTGCCGACAGGAGACCAAAGTCAAAACCAAATTCATTGGCAAACAGGACCGGGTCACAGAGTCCATAGATCAAAAGAATTTACATGAATTGACAGAAAGCAGTTCTGCTTGCTGGAAATATCTGGAATTCCACTGCCTCGGCCACACCTTCGGAAGGTGCAACATTGGCATCTGGCAGGCTGCTGAGATGCTCCTCAGAACGCATCCCGGTGACGCTTGCCCCATCTTGCCCCTGGGGATTGGTTCATTCAAATGTTCCGCAAAACATCTTGTCACACACATAATGGAAGCCGCGAGTAACAAGTGCATCGCTTACTTGTTGCAAGGACATTACTACTAGTAACAAGAAGCTACGTTCGTAGCGATGATGCACTTAAGTTACTAGTAGCTGCTGTTGCCTGACACACACACACACACTTCCACACACACACTTTCACACTCACTTCGCGGATCTCCCGCCCAAATGCCTGCACGCTACTCTACCATTCCTTGATCAACCCACTACCCAGCGCTAACCTGAAAAAGGTCTTTTAGCTCCAAGGGGCGAGGGCTCTATACGTGTTACGTCTTTGTGTTTCTTCCTTAGACCTCGAGCCTTTCGGCCTTTTATCTATGTTTAATTAACTATACTATGAATTTATCTTTTTCATTTTTTCCCCAAGGACCTTTCTTCTAAATCAGTGTCTTTTTTCTCCAAGGGGCGAGGGCGCCCTTGGCAGCGGCCATGATGTGCAGCTTCTCGCGGAGCCCCTTGGCAGCGGTCCGAGGCAGAAAAGCAGCGAACGTCGAAGGTCGCAGTTGCTGAAAACTGCTGGGGGACAAAAACATATCCCTGTTATTTCTAAGTGACAGCACATACAAATATACAGTACAATCTATATCACCACCTGGAGAGAGATAATTTTATCATTCATTATAATTGTGTACTCCTCACAGTGTCTAGCCCCAAGTACGTTCCTATCGCACATCATTTTTTGAATCCACCTAACCTGCCGCCCCCTTGCCGCCCGCTTCCGCACGTGTGCCTTCTGCACTCGCGTCATGGATTCCTCACCCGCCTGACCGAAGACTTTGCCGAAACAAACACCTAACAAAGGCTCCGAACACAAGTCAAAACGACACCTGGATGATTTGCTTGGGGAAGGGTGCCAAGCTTCGAAGAACGGCTTTGATCTTCTCCAGCGCCTTAGCGGCGGCCGTTGATCTGCACGCAACCGTTGTGAACATCAGGACATGGATGCCTCCAATCTCTGCGGACCGCCATGTGCTACTGCTTCCGCCCAAAGCACCTCAAACTAATGACATGGTGCAAAATGTGTCCCTTGACACCAACCCAAGCAGGTAAACAGGTAAACACCTCGACATTGCAATTACTGTGCCCCTTGCAAAACATGGTTGCCAAAGAACCTCTCCAACAGCTCGCAGCTCCCCACAGCGTTGGGCCAGCTGATGCACCAATGGGACCAGCCACGCAAACCGCTGCTCCCGAATCTGCACAAAGGCGATGCCAAAGACGTTTACCAACGACGCTTCAGAACAGCAACGCCAACTGTTTGGGAAAAAGGGAGTTTCAACAATTCGGCCAAGAATGGCAAAGCTGCCGGTCGGGTTGCATGAGGAAGTAGGAAACCTGTGCCTCATCTCACTTCTCATCAAGCGCATGGGATTCCATGGGGGAATGGGACGGTAGAGCAAGCTGTGACACAGCGACAGCCCAATAAATCCATGACTGAGAGAGGGGGTTAAGGATGATAGGATGACCCCAAATACCAGCGATCCGATGCTCAACATCTGTGCCTTCCAAGTGGTACTTCCCCTGGAGTCCACATGAGGCCTGAGTGAAGTGCTTCTCTTGCGCTGGCCGATGCAGTCCGATTTTGATGCATTCGGCAGCACCAAGTGTTCAGAACAGCGCCGTGTTCCGAAACCCGATCTTTCGGTCGCTAAGCCCCAAGCACACAATGGGCCGTAATCGTCACTGCCAAATGCCAAGCTTCACTGAGCTCTTGCACTTTTGTTTTGAGCAAATCGTGGACTTCCTCCATTTTAGGGGTGCCTGTCACATGGAGCACTGTGACCGATGGAGTGCTGACAAGGGACATCATCGCGTGATGCACAACAACTAGTATATAGCTTAAGTAGCTAGTAGCGATGGCTTCCAACAACTAATAATTGCAATGGACTCCAAAACCTAACAGCGATGGCCTCCAACCTAGTAGCTTAAAGTGGCTAGCGCCAAGATGCCGTGCAGCTTGTGAAGCAAGTGTGCTAAGGCTCGGTGCAGCTGATCCTGCAAAGACAACAATTTGGGCATTGACCATGTTTCAACATGTCTCAACAACTTCCATTCTTGGTAGGTTCTCCAAACATCCACCTCTACACCAGAAAGCTCTTGTAGGTGTAAGAGCGCATCTTCAACAGAGCCTCGGCCACGAAGGCACAGCTGGAACCGCCGCGCACGACAAAGCTCAAACACCGGGCCTCCGGAAGGGGCAACATGCTCAGCCTCGTCACTCGTAGTCTCAGACTCCAAGAGGTCTCCATGTTGCTGATGTTCCAGAATCTGTCGCAGCTTGGCTGCATCCATGCCTCTGAAACGCAGATTTTTTGTGCAGTGTCATTCAAAAAGGATCAGAACCAGATTTCACATATATGGGCAAAGACCCTTTTGAGAGATGGCCTTCCAATTTACAAAAAGGTCTTTACAAAGCATGAGGTCACAAAAAGAGATAAGAAAGGTTCTGGTCCGGCAATCATGGATTGAAATATGTTTAAATATGTTTAAGGGATTTTAAGGGAGAATCCTCTCAATGCACTGTAAGGAGTAATGAGGACATCAGTCCTTCACAAAAATCTTATGCTTGATGACCAGCAGTTTTCTCATGTATTCACCCTTTCTACGAACACTGTTCCTAGTAGCTTCTTGTTACTACTAGTAAGGCACTTGTTACTAATTAGAAGCGATGCACTTGTTCCTAGTAGCTTCTTGTTACTACTTGCCCTCTTGTAAACACAAATGATCCTTCAAACATCGCCACCCCTACATCATGACTAGTCTCGCAGAAAACCAAAAGCTCCCGCAGCTATCCAGTCATCCAGTTCTTCTATAGTTCTTCAATAAATGATGTGTCAGGCCTCCTTCCTCTTCCTCTTCCTCTTCATTCTCATCGGAACTGGTGTGGCCCAAGGATTCGCTATCCTCGGGCTTGCAACTTTGCTGCTAGCTGCTAGAGGCCATTGTTATTAGGTTGGAGGCCATTGCTGCTAGCTGCTAGCTTCTCCGATTTCCGGCCTCCGATCGAACGGAATGTCTTCGGGACAGCAGCGCCAGCTTGAACCTCTCTGTGAGCTTTAGAACCTGCACCGATTTCTTTGCAAAAGCATCAATAGTAGCCGATCAACTGGCACCATTTCAGGCAATTCACAACATCACATCAGCACCTTCCCCTGACCTTGCCCATGGAACATCACTAGCACTAGCAAATCCAGCAATCAGTCCATTGATGGCCCCTGAATGCGGTTACCCTCAACGGTCATGCTTTATCCATGTTTATCAATGTTTTGCTTCTTTCCTTTCTTCGTTCAGGCTCTGCAACGTCCAGTCTTCATGGCACAAAGAGAAATGTCACCACATACAAAACGTGCGACGTCCCCCCCAAAGCCCCCCGGTGCTTGGACATAGAACCAGCCAATCACGCCTTTTCTTCCATGTGCATGGATGCACGTCTCCTTGGGCAGCAAATCTGTGAAAGCATCACATGTCCTGCTCATTTCTAAATTGGCTAAGTGCTTCCAGTTGAAGTGCTTCCACGCCACATGTCTGTAATGACCATAAGCTGCACTTCTTGCTTCTTCACCACTTCTATCGCTGCGTTCAGCAATGTCAAAGGAGTTGCCAATTTCAAGGGTCCTCTTGTCACGTCGTTCCAGGTTCCAAAAGGTTCCAAACACAAACACACCTGTGACCGGCCCAAACAATCGTGGGTTCAAACATGTGCACCAATCAAGCGAAACCTCTAGGAAAATGGTGTGTTTCTTCAGATGTTTCCACACTGTTTGACTAGTCACAGGTGTATCTCGCTCTAGCTTTCACTGCCATGTTTGCACCCCGGTCGTATCAGAGTGAACGTTTGCGCAGAAAGGCCAACCCAAATTTGGTGTCGTCGAAGCCATTGCGCTTGTGCATGGAGCTCCTTTCCAGGTTCATCGCTTGATTTCACATAGTACCTCTGGAGTGTTCCTCACATTTCCAAGGATTGGCCCTTCGATGAAACAGATTCTGACGTTCTGATTTGTTTCTTGGTCGTTTGCCCTGCTGTCTCTCCTCTGCCAGCACACTGAAGAATCCCTGGCAGGACTGTTCTGCTCCTTTCAGCACCTTTTGCAAGGCCTACGGCAGATTTCGCAGGGAAGCTGAGGATCAAGCTCAGCGGGGAGCTGTGTGAAACCACTGTTTGCACCATGAACGGTCTCATACTGGGCGTGGGGGCAAGCTACGAGCATGAATGAAGGGCATGAACCAAAGGATCACTAGGCTAGGAACCCAAATGCCAACATCAACCAAATCAAAAGACAAGCACCGCCTTGCGAGGCGGAGCCGCCCTCTTTGCCTATCCACATCTACCCACCCTTCCCGGCAGATTTGCCGTCAACTGAACCGAAGAGATCCGCGAACCGCCGTCGAACGGCCGTCGAACGAACGAACGTCACTCGGCCTCAGCGTCCTTCACGGTGCCATCTCCATTGAGCTCTCGGCAACGTCCACGCAGCTCGAGCTTCAAGACTTTGGCTTCGCTGGTGATGGACCGATACAGTTCCACCTCCTTGACCGACGAAGCAGCAATGGAAAAGCATGGAGAAACGCCATTAGCAAAAGCCACTCACCAATCCGAAACAATCATTGACTTTGAATGAGATTTGCATTGACTATCTCCCCCGAGTCCTTTTGAAGCCTGGCTTTCCGAAGCTTTTCGCTGGACGTGGCCAATCTTGCTCTTAACTGAGCCTCAAATCATGTTGCGCAGCGTTGTGCACAAGTCACATGGCGATGCTCCAAGGAGAAACGCCTGCAAATTCACCCTCGAATGGTGATCCATTTTCCCACCACTGAACATCACTAAATCACAGTTCTGGGAGGGGTATTCCTTTGCTACCCAGAACGGTTGGCAATGAATGTTAATGAATCCTTTCATTTCAGACTCTAATGACTCTAATGGTTTCCCGAAGCCTTCGACTTGGCCAAGGCTCAACAATAGAAACTATGCGTTGCACGTCCAGCCAGTGCAAGCGCTTAAACATTGCCTTAGCCATCGTATGCTCGTTGATTGCTTTGCACATCACTGTTTATACACCATCACTGTCATCTGAAGCTCTCCAGAGTCACAGTCGCTTTCACATTCCTTCTAATGTTCCATGGACTGCAATGCAATTCCCTAACTGACTAGTAACTTAGTGCAACTCGAGGCTCAGCCTCCTTTCCAAGTCTGTGAGTCACAAATCCAACATGCAAAAACAACTCATGTTTGCCCAACAGTCAGGGTAGCCAAGTCCTGACCAGCCATAGAAAAAAAAACCTGCGGCTGTACTGTTTTGAGCCATCAGTACAGCCCTCTGTGCCCAACACCGAGAACCGACCCTTTCGCCAACGGGCTCGCCGGCGCCGGATCCGCAACTCGTGGACATCGAGCATGAGCTCCGAAGTCCTGGACGGGGTGCGTAGCCAGGACATGAGGGACGGTTCACCGGTTATTACTTGTTCTAAAAAAAACTTCTTGTTACTACTAGTAAAGCACCTGTTACTACTAGTAAGGCACCTGTTACTACTAGTAAGGCACTTGTTC